ATATACGAAATCCGTAAGTTGACATTTCTGTTTTTGGTTATAAAACCTTGGAAAACTTCAATCATTCTCATACCAGTGAGTTTTTTTCATAATCCAATATATAGATATTCTAATTTAAATAAAAAACTATAAAGAAACCTCATAAAATTATTGAGTTCAACCGAATTTATTCAGATGAATGTATCAAATGACATACTATATGACTCGAAAGTCATAGTGAACATGTGTGTGAAAACCTAGTTAGTCAAATATAGTGTTTATACCAGATGGTAAAAACTGTTTGGGTGGATTAAATGAAAAAGAATCGTCCTTGCGAGTAGAATGGCTAACTGATGAACAGGATGTTAGAAAACCCTACTGATCACCTCTACCCACCACCTTACATCTTAACATAGTGTTGTCGATGTTGAGCCACTCAAACAATTTGGCATATTACGAATTGATCGATAGAGTTCGATGACCAACTAACACATTAGACAAATACGACATCGGTCACTATTCAGTGGTTAATCAATTGCAAACTAGGATTTTAGTTGAATAACAGTAATTAAAATAAACTGTCCCAAATGTCTTATTGGATAGTTTAACAATATTTTGTTGCTAGTGTTGTTTTCTCCAAATGTACGTTTCATATCAGAATTCAGTTGTAAAAGTAGGAACTTCTGTTTATATACAAGATTACTGCTACTCTATGTTCTTCATTAATATGTAGGTAAATTAAATTGGCTGATATTTGATTATCGCTTGTGTGCATTGTTATCGTATGAAGTTTCTTTGACATGGCTAAGATCAACTTTTGGCAGGGAGTCCAGAGTCAGCATTTCTAATGAATCATATTCTGTGCATCTTATTTGTGAATGGTTGTCTAAGTAAAGTAATGTTATGATAGCGAGACTATAATTTGTAGACGAACGAATCACGTATAAGATTACAGGTATCACTCATCCATTTGGCTAAATAGAGTTTTGGCACCATAGCTGGTGTCAGTTCGTGATGAAAACCTGAAATCTAATTTCTAACCTTAATTATCAACTGTACTTCATAATTCTTATCCCCCACACAAGTTTATAACTTTCATATGGTACTGGTTATTAAGTGGACACTCTCAAGGTCAGTCTTGCGTCGCTCAAAGGTCGTCAATAAATTATAGTCTCACCACATTGTGATATAATTGAATGTTTATTCTGAAAAAATTCAAGATATATTTGAGGAATATTTGGTAGTATCTAAGTTTATGGACTCCAGATTTAACTATACGAATGCGGCTTTAACAAAAAGTATCGACTTTGAAATTTTTCTAATCGAAATTATGTAGTTCCCAACATGTTCCCTATTCAAACTATTTGTACAGTTACCTTAACCGATCCTAGAGCAAATGTTCCATCTTACATCATTCACTGTTTAACATGGATGATATGAAAAATCATTAGTCTGTTATGAATGCATTTCTGTCAACATAACTGATTGTTTTCATAACGGAATAAATCACTTCTAAACTCATCATAACATCAGTTTGTCATATAACCGTTGATCTTTACAGCCATCTTCGTAAACAAATTCTCTAAACTTTTCTCAATGTGATTCATATAACTATTTGATGGATCGGTATCAAAAAGATAACTAATAAAAATCAGACACCATTATGGATCTGTTTTGATCAAATTTAGAACAATTCAACAGTTTTCACCTACGAATTCGCATTAGATTAACAACAGGATCTTTAAGTCACATAACAAACAAAAAGATCTTTACAGTTGGATTATTATAAAGAAATAGTGGGAACTTTCGATTGCTCAACTAAGTTTGAGTTTCATAATTAGAAAATTATTCAAAACCATGAAGCACTGAACAGTGGTTTCTTCCTAGTACAGAACTTCTTATCAGTGCATACCCCTTGACCACACCAGAGGTTGAACAAAGGACCTTCAGATCTCATGGAGGACATTGAAAATTTAGACCATTGAGTTGAGGTCGCGGTATTGTTCAGTGTTGAGTAGCAGTATAATATGATGAAACAGCCGTCCATTGCCTTCTGCTTAAATAAAGCCAGTCCGTGATGTAAGCTACAAAATTTGACAATCTATACAAACTTTCATATAAATAAACTCGACTTTCTAATCTTGAACCAATCAGAACATTCTAATTGTCTGAATTCTTATAAAACCTTGTTCGAAAACAACAGGAGTTAAATAATTCGTTGGTCAGTTTCACCTTTACGACTAAACGAATCCTATTATAACAATTTCAAAATTTCATACTTAAAACTTATTTCGAACTCGTAGCCTATGAATATTTAAGATAACGATGATATTATAAAGTTACAACAGTTCATCCCACAGAAGTGATCCCCAAGTTGTCAATATTCTACCATCTGACTTCCAGCAAATGGTTATTTTCCATATTCAGATATACCAAAGAAGAACTTCATATACGGGTTGGTCATTTCAAATTATCACTCTTCGTAACAACTAAAAATAAACTGAGTTCATCGTCACAAACCTCTCATTATTAATAAAACTCAGCATAAAAGTCAGTTATAGACCATTTTCAACTCTTAGATATTATCATATTACATAATCATAATTTTGGAATTAACAACTGATTGGACACATAGTAATGACTGATGTCATTCTTCCCTAGTCCCTTGAGTGCTGATTGAATTCGAATGATCAAATGTCAGTATCCTCACCAGTATCAGTGACTTGATATCACGTACACTATGTTGAGATTTGATGTGGTTGTAGATGGTCGTCAGGGAACTCTGCTCGACCTAGGTTTTAGGATAGTCGTGAATTATCATTAGGGCGTATCTGGAACATCCAGGGAATTGATGGTCTTTCGAGAATTCGAACCCACACCACCCAGCTTCATGATCTGAGATGTAAGACATTCAGACAGCGAATAACCTCCTGTGAGAGAGAAGGCGAGACTATAATTTATGAACGAACCACTCAGATTTAATATAAAGAGACTTTTGAAAAGAAGTTTACTAATCTACGTGGCTAAATATGGTTTTGACATCATAGATTATATCAGTTCGTGATGAAAATCTTAACTTTAACTTCTTACTCTAAATTCCGATTCCGATTTCTCACAATACTCTACAATCCTCTTTTGACCCTGTAAGTAGGTGAATTTTCTCAAGATCACTTTGGAATCGTTCAAAGGTCGTTCATAAATTATAGTCTCATCGGAAAGTTATTTACAATCAGTCGAGTCAGTATTGCAGGTCGACCTTGCTGAAGAGTTCCAACCAACACGATATCTAAGTTCAGAGTTTGCTAATAACCACTTCCAGCGACTTAAAAACTTTTAAACCTTTTTAGATTCTTTAGTGTTTAAGACTCAAAACAAAAACTTTTCTTCATTATTAAGTCAATGGGATTTGTAGAGGAAATTAACAGTTCCCTTCCCATACTGAACAGCTGTTTGATTTTCATTTCAAACTTCTCACTACGGTTTACACTTATTCGTCAGCCAAAAATAACCCAGCTTTCTAGTTACTGTTTTTTTTCACGCTATTATCAATATTAGTTCATTAGTTGACGTGATTAGATGAGAATTACTTGCCAAAATTACATAAGGCGATTGTTTCAATCACTATATTCTTTTTCACATTTTTTACACTGCAAAAGATGTACTTTTGTTCATTTTGTTTATGCGAAAAAAGAAAAGTTTTATTCGACAAAGACATTCGAGTTAAGTAAAAGTTGTAATAAATGAAAGTTTTCACCGAGCAACCGTAAAGAAGAAGAAAGAGAATAATACCAACAACAAAAAATATAAACTACATAGTTTTGTCTAGCAATTTCAAAATGAATCATTAGTCGCTAGTAAAATGTACTGAAAAAGGAACACAATCGATTTTCGATTAATGACTGTCTTGCATTCAAATACATTTATCTAAGAAGAAAATAACTGAAAAATTGGGTTTTAAGAAACGGGATCACTAATTACGTAGTATTCTTCTCTTTTGTTAACAATGTTCACGTGTCTATGAATGGTATTTATGAAATGCGAAAAAAAGAGAAAGACCTAATTAACTAGAAGTTGGCTATCTATGGCAAACTAACATTATTGACATTTTTAATGTATTTGCGTATGTGTTATATAACCATTACTTCTTAAAATCTCTTAAGTTTCATTTATATACAACGTAGGACCTAGCATAAATATATCAGTTGATGTTGCCACAATTCAAATCATAATATCAGTAGGAATTAATGATATATAAAACTGGAGAGAAATAAGAAAATCAACCTTAGTAGAAACACAGAATAGAAAATATAGATCAGGTGATTGAAATGAAATGAATGACACAACTGAGAATATTTAAGAGGGAATGCAACTACACCTCTGAATACAAATCTGAGTTATATAAGGTCTTCAGTAATCTAATACAATGACGACGTAGATATTGACCACGAATTCTGTACCAATTAATATGACTTAGCCACATAGTCGATGACTTTATTGACTCCTGACATGTCTACTGTCTGTCTAGCCTAACCTATCTCCCAGCTAACTCTCATGCCACCTATCACTGCACATAGGAGGAGCCCGTGATTAGATATGCATGGCACGTGTCTTAAATATCTCAGTTAATAAGGATCTACAATTTCATACGCTAACTTATCGTTTCCATCTAAAATTCTATACCTAACTTCATCATTACTCAGTTAGTGGTTCCAAACATATGCGAGCACACTGTTTCAAAGACACTTGTGACCAAATACTTAGAACCTGAGCTTCGTTTCTAAATTTATAGAGCATCTTTTGCAAACACAAAGCAATATAATGCATTGTATACTTGAAAAAGAATTTAGTCATTAAGATAATCATAGGTGTATACAATCCAGCAACAATAAACAAAAAGTATTAGAATGATATTCAAGTTTGAAGAAACTCCACATTGATAATCATGTCAAGAAATATTGATGAAAAAGATAATAGTAAACCTGGAAACAAATTGGTTGATATAAAAAAGAGTAGATACTTACCGTATAATAAACATGTTATATACTAATATTTGTTGATGTTTCTTTATAATAAAATAAACATTTGATTATTATTCCATTTGAGAAAATTTACTAAAATCAAATATATCCTTTTTTTTAAAGGGAGTTTTTTATAATCCGGTATCCAGTTCAAGTAATTGAGAAAGCAGTAAAGGATTAAGTAAATATCTCAATGCATCAAGTTTTGTTTATTGTTTAATTTTTTTTTTGGTAGTTAAGCAATGTTAGAGCATTGTACCAGATGATCAGTGAATATGTAGAGAAAATATCATATTTCCGATTATTTGATGGAATAATAATAATGTGGTGAGTGTGAAATTTGTTCGATTGAAGCAATATATATCGTTAAAATCACAGGGGCCTAGTAACAAATGATTATAATTGAATTTAATATATACAATCTATTGGTTAATGAAAATGAAAATCTATGCATACATTATCTAAGATTGCTGAATTTTCAAGAATTGTACAAAGGGAAAGAGGAGAGATGAAAACAAAAATGCTTTTCTTTGAATGTAAATATAAAGTTATAATATTGTTAATTCATGAATGAAAAAATGGGAACAAAATAACTCACACTCTACACCCCTATGTTTATAGTGTAGTGTTAGAGTTAAATAAATAAATCCGATTACAGAAAATGTATCCACCACTAAGATAAACAGACCTGAATAGTTTTTATAATGCGTCAGTCTGGTCAAACATTGACTTCTTTTTTTTTGATGTGTTGATGGACTAATAAAATTTATTAGCCAATCAAAAAATAGTATTGGTACGGTTGGTTGGCCTTCAATCTTATTGGTTAAAAATTATAAACATCACTGTATGTAGTGAAAATCGTGTTAGAAAATTTGATAAGCTCATTGAAATTTATTAGCTGGCTCTCGGATACAACATCTGAACCAACATCTTTATAAAAGCTCACACTATTAAGCCCTTGATTGTACTTGGTAGGATAGCATCATAAATGTTGAGTAGCATAACATATTTTGTTCCAAATTGAATACTCTACTAATGAAAACGTTTTGTACTGAATATGCGTTGACTTTGTGTTGTAATGAACTACTATCTTATTTATGATGAATACATTGTATTCATCATCAACAATAGATAACAGTTTTCAAACTCTTATGAAGATTTAACAATTTTTATGTAAACATTCCCTGTAAATATGGCATCTGAGATTATTTCAGTATTTGAATAACAATGTATTCGATATTCTGAAGTTTTTAAATTAAAATGAAGTTTTAAGTGAACGGGAACCATATTACACACCATTGAGTATTTACACAAGTAATCAACATTCAGAAATCCTGATTTATGCAAACCACTTACAGGATGAACTTACTTACTTACTTACGCCTGTTACTCCCAATGGAGCATAGGCCATCGACCAGCATTCTCCAACCCACTCTGTCCTGTGCCTTGTTTTCTAATTTCATCCAATTCTTGTTCATTCTTCTCATGTCTATCTCCATTTCTCGGCATAATGTGTTCTTTGGTCTTGCTCTTCTTCTTTGGCCTTGAGGATCCCATGTGAGGGCGTGTCTTGTGACGCAGTCTGGTGCTGTCCTCAATGTGTGTCCTATCCTCTTCCAGTGCTTCTTCCTGATTTCTTCCTCCACTGGGATCTGGTTTATTCTCTCCCACTTACAGGATGATCACAAAAGTAAATAAATAGTACGGATGTAAAAATTATTTTTTAAGAAATACCGTTTTTGTAGTAAAATATCTAGAAACAACTCATCCTGTTCAAAATAGAATTTTTATCAGGGTTACGTAATTTTGTAGAAAAAAGTACATTTCCGTGGACCAATTATTTGTTATTGTAATCATTATATACTGCTTATCTTGTATAGTTAGTAAGCATTAACGTCAAGTGTCAAAGACCATGAAACCTAGTTTTAATGTATTGTATATCATCGTCTTTGAGAATTTTTCACATATTGTTACTTATTATCGAGGCTTGTTTTCTTATCAGGCAAGCAGTAATATGAAGTGATATTCATTTTTTTGTTTCTTTGGTGGCATAAACTTTTCTAATTTTACAGATTTATCTTACTGGTAAGTCTTAGAATAAAACAACCATTGTTGTTCACAAACAATTATTCAACTACCATATATGCTGATAGAATATCAGTCGGAGGAATCATGAAAAGCTGAAAGAATATTCAGCTCATAGTTTTTCCAAAATTTATTTGAAGTTTTCCAAAGTTTAGAATAGTTGCGGTTATCTTTTACCAAGCCATTAGAAAGTTAGGTCATTAATTGTGCTTTTTTTTTAAAGTTTAGACTTGTGTTTCTATCCTTTCATAATGAATACTGTATTTCATTTATGAATGAGGTATTTTAAGTTGAATTAAATAATTGTATTTAACATTTTTGGGTTTCTCATCCACTGAGTTGATTTGTAGGAAGTCTATCTATCCACTGAAAGGTGAATCAATAAAGTATAAGATTTAGAAGATAATTTGCTTGCTTTTTTGCTCTCTTTGCTAGTGCTCAAATATGATTTTACAAGAGATTGAAAGAGAAAGATTTCAGGTTTTTTTTATGACAATGATATTTAAATATGGAGCATGATAATGACAAGTAAAAGTTAAACCTTTATTGCTGGGTCACTGGTTCATTTGTTCGTGACTGATGGACAACATAATCTGAATCTAATAGTCTTTTGCATCTTAAATAAAGTTTTTCATGTTTGTTTTTGTGTTGAGTATTACAAGTGTTCAGGTTTACTATATAAAACAGTTCTCTTTAATCACCGATTGGTTTATTCTTTAGTGTTTGTTCATTGGGAGCTTGTCGATAATAATTCGATTTTCATGATTATTTTTTTCTCAAAATCTATAACATTTCAATCAATACATGGAACTTATTGTACAATCTATACATTTACACAGAAAATTAATAATTCCTTCACCACAGAGAATTTGGATGTTGAAGTTTTACACTTTTTGGTTTGATTTATATCATGATTATGTGTAGCCATCTGCAACTGACACCTATTTATAAGCATGATAAATGAGCACCTGAAACAGTGATTTACTCTTAAGACTCAGTTATTTTTCAAATCTTAACTAGTCCCAATTATTTTAATTAATGAATTCCATCAATATTTAATTCTTCAAAACTACTTCATCTCTTCCTTAAATTTAAATGGATGGTAATGAATTACTAAATGACGCCAATTTGTTGTTAGTAGTCAAGACTGAGTCGGCAAAAATTTTTATAGTTCGGTTACCTTTCTTGACATCATGACGTTCATCATCATCATCATCATCATCATCATCATCATCATCATCATCATCATCATCATCATCATCATCATCCTCATCCTCATCATCATCATCATCATCATCATCATCATCATCATCATCATCATCATCATCATCATCATCATCATCATCATCATCATCATCATCATCATCATCATCATCATCATCATCATCATCATCATCATCATCATCATCATCATCATCATCATCATCATCATCATCATCATTCATCATCATCATCATCATCATCATCATCATCATCATCATCTCATCATCATCATCTCATCATCATCATCATCATCATCATCATCATCATCATCATCATCATCATCATCATCATCATCTCATCATCATCATCATCATCATCATCATCATCATCATCATCATCATCTCATCATCATCATCATCATCATCATCATCATCATCATCATCATCATCATCATCATCATCATCATCATCATCATCTCATCAGCATCATCATCATCATCATCATCATCATCATCATCATCATCATCCTCATCATCATCATCATCATCATCATCATCATCATCATCATCATCATCATCTCATCATATCATCATCATCATCATCATCATCATCATCATCATCATCATCATCATCATCATCATCATCATCATCATCATCATCATCATCATCATCATCATCATCATCATCATCATCATCATCATCATCATCATCATCATCATCATCATCATCACCATCATCATCATCATCATCATCATCATCATCATCATCGTCGTCGTCGTCGTCGTCGGCGGCGGCGGCGGCGTCATATTGTACTCGAAAATTCGAGTGGAACTTATCAAGTACATTGTCAGTATTAACCTACTGTGTTAGTGGTTAATGCAAAGCTCTACTATAAATGATCTTTATATTGATTAAGGATGAAACTTTTTTACTCTCTTCTCAAACATATTTGAGAACAAATAAATCACACAAGCCGTGTGACAATATTTTTTCAAAAATTTTGAAATAATAATTTCTTCGAGTTTATTTTGTAAACTTCTATGTTAAAAAATATCTTTAAACTGTAAACCATTGACCGTTATAATATTATTTAGACACTGTTATTTTATATTTAAATTGTTTCTGACACCATATTATTGAAATCGAAGTGAAATCTAGAATATGAATTTCATCTTGTTTCGAAATCTTCGGCTGAATGTATCTTCATCTCCTTGTGTGACAGTTCACATTGAAATTCGAACCGGGTATTTTTCTGTAAAGAGATGATTAACATCAACATTAACGGGAAAGTACAAAGTCTTACAATAAAGTTTTTATACTTGTTCAGAAGATTTATTAAATATTAAAAAAAAACAGAATGATTTAGATCAGCGGTGATTGTCGATCAATATGTGGGCAGTATATTTGGAATAGGGCATAAGTCAGCTAATTCAATACAGAAAATTGTTATATAATGCCTATAAAAACGAAAAACGCTTAGAAGAAGAAATTAAAAAAGAAATAATTAGTCATTGAAACTGCTTGAGGGATAAGAAGGGAGTTTTAAGAATATCAAACAAATAGTGCATTTTAATTCATTAGAAGTAAACAAATTCACAGAAATGCAAAATTTATATTGACCATATACAGAATAATGCATATATATATATATATATTCGAAATTATGAACTGATCAATGTTAGACCACCATTGAAAACCTGAAAGCACTGGACGAACATTTTGTTCTAGTTTGGGACTCCTCAGCAAGACACATCTTCACAACCATATAGTGATATTTGTGTTCTCATTGGAAAATTGTTCTAATATTGTTTTTCTAAGCGTCAAATAAAGAAAAAAACTTATTTACTAACAAAGAACTAATCATAAACAATTTAGTCTTTTTTTTATGAACGGAAAAATGTTACTTTAGAAGACAGTAAACAAAGCAGATTATGGTTAATATTATTATTTATGACCAAGGTCATATTACATCAGAGAGGGAAGGAGAGAGGGAACATAATGTAGACCATTGTCTAATAATTAGAACTCATTTTCATTTCACAATAATAATGATAACTTTAGATATACAACACAACACAGCAATATTCAAAATCTTTTACAAGAAACAGTTAGCATTGAAAGTAAATATTTAGTTATATAATTTATTCATTCAATGAATGGAATAAGATACGAATTTTGTTATTTATGAACAAAACAGGCTATCAAAAAGTTTGTGAATTTGTCTATTGAGAAAAAGAAACTATTTGTATATGGATCAAATGAATTGGTGAGGCTTATGACAATGTAAGTTTGATGTGAAACCAGTATGAAATTCGACCACTTATGTTGCCCGTGAACAGTCTGTCATGATTTTCAATCCATAATGAATTGTCTAAATAATTGTTAAAGACTTCAATGGTTGAAATCATGGGCCAATTGAAGCTAGACCATCATGGAAAAGCTGGGAGCACTGGACGGCCGTTTCGTCCTAGTATGGGACTCTTCGGCAGTGCTCATCCACGATCCCGCCCTTTGCGAGATTAGAACCCAGGACCTATCAGTCTCCCACGTGAGCGCCTAACCATTAGACCACTGAGCCGGTACCCAATGGTGTTAATGTCTAACTTCAAGTAATCCTCGAAGAAATAAAATCGTATATATCATCTGTGCACGTGATTCATGCACAGTATTGGAAAGTTTTTCAGTCAGAAATCGAACTTTTGATGATTTCAATAGCTCCGTTTGAACACTGAAAACAAAGTGATCTATATTTGCTGTAATTTAAAATATAACAGTTGAAATAATTCATTTCGATTAGTAAGAATATTAAATATTTGAGAGATATTCATAGAAATACCTAGTAACCGAAGTGAAATTTGTAAAATGGTTAGTGTTTTTTCACCTTTTTGGTTAAGTTTTTTATTATGTCAAGCCGAGATAAATTGATTCCATAAAACGGAAGTTTTCCGAACTGTTGTGAAACATCATTACTCGTTTGTTTTATATTGTTTGTTTGAATCTTCTCATTGATGTTTAGGACTGTAATTGATCAGTCTCTTATTGGCACATATGCATCTTGTGTGTAATGCCTCGATATTGTCTTCAGTCACAAGCATTATGGATAGAGATGGATGGTAGCTAGCAATGGAATACAGAACAAACACATATACCAGTAAGAGATGGATCAATTGCCGTCATAAACATTATTGAGAAGATTCAAACAACCACCCGATTGCACAAGCTAGTGGCTATCGGAACTCACTAGCTAAGTGGATAACATGATAGCGTTCGAAGAGAACGGTACTGGATTCGAGTACCGGAGTGAGTATGAACTCTGGGATGCAGGTACATCCAGCTGATGAGTCCCAAATAGAAGGAAGCGCGCGTCTTGGATTCTACAGCTAGCCACCATCCTTCTTTGCCTATCTTGACCGATTATAAACATTTTTTCTACTATCTGGTGTTATATTTTAAATTCAACTATGCTGCGCAAAGGTTTTGCGGTTTCTCGCTCTGAATAAGTGATTAATTCATAAAGATGTCATCTTTTTTCTAGACAATATGAGCACAAATGTAGAAAATAAGCGACCTATCATAATTAGTAGCAATATAATTTAACAAATAAGATCATTTTTAATTAGACCGTTATCAGGCCTTGCGCTAATATACATCGATATTTACATCCATAAATTAATCAAGGTAGTTTGTGAGTTCACATGAGCCTGTTTCTTCAATGTACATTCACAAATTCAGTTGCTCCTGCTGATCTACATAACATTGGGTGGGCTACGAGGCAACTTAACCAATGAGTAAGTGGATATTTTCCCAAATGGCTTGTAAATATTTAGAAGACAATGGGTAACTCTGTTTTATCACAATTAGTTGACAGCAATGATAGATACAACTAAGTAATCTACCGTATATCTTTGTCATTTACCAACGTAGTTCGGCCTCATATCCTACATATACCAAAGGCCATAAGGATTCGAACCGACAACTCTAGTTTACTTAGCTAGAAGAAATTTATGACAATCCTATCCATTCCTTGACCAGATATGAATAATAAACGATTCTATTAATCAACATGATTAATATTTCAATTATTATTAGTATTTTCCACAACCTTTGTTCGTTTGTTTTTCCCCGTCCTCTTTCTCATTTATTCCTCACTATTTTCCGTAACTTTCTTAACCTTCAACTTATTTGCTATTTTATAACATTAATTGAAGCTTTTATTATTCTCATCACTTTTAACATACTTGTTATCGCATTATCAATCTGTACCGTTTATTTATTGTGTTTAGCTATATCATCTATTTCGTTGTTATGAGTAACTTCAGAACAATCTTCATTGGTTTAGTATTTTCATTTATGCATATAAATATTAATGTAGATTAATTTAGATGGTGGTTAGAGGTAGTTGACGGGAAACCCTGGACCAGGGTTTCGTGCTACTTGGCACTCGTCAGCAAGGTCGCGGCTCAGATATCTCAGTGGTAACGTCTCTGACTGTGAAGCTGGGTGACACGAGATCGAATCCGCCAGAGAGCGCCAGTTCCCTCAAGATTACAAGTACACCTTGCTGACGAGTGCCAAGTAGCACGAAACCCGTGTCCAGGGTTTCCTGTCGACTACCTCCAACCACCATCTAAATCTCAATATATAGTGCCCGCAGTGTCGAGTCACCTAGACTGGTGGCCACATTGCAACATGATCGATAGCATTAGATCTGCACTAATAAGGACTAGACACGCATGACATTGATCACCACCCAGTGATCAATCAATTGTGAATGTATATTAGAATAAAGAGGTTGATAAATATCTAATTGAAAACGGTACTTTTCGATTATCCGTGTTGTTCTAATTTACAATATGAGAATTTTAAATATTCTATTAGAATTTGCCTACAATTGAACAAAAAAAATCAGCCAGATCTGCCAATGAACTTGGTATTTTCTATTGTTGTAGAAATAGTGACAGCACACTTACTGAAATTTATACTGGTGTTAATGTCTGGCAACATATTTGAAGCTTTATGATGAAATTATCCATACAACTAAGAAAATATAACATTTTTTTAGTTATCTCATGAGATACAGACCTTTCAAGCCATGTTGTCTACACAAATTGATTTATCTTTATTAATTCTTACTGTAGCTAAGATCGTTATTTATTACCTGAATAAACTTAATTGAATCTTTTTTTTGTATTCTAGATGTCATTACCAAGGTTTGACTTGATAATTGAGCATTGGGTAGATTGTAATTAATAAAAATAATATATTTGTAATATCCTATTAAGTAGAAAAATTAGATTTGTATTATCTAAACTTGGGTTAATTTAATATGTTTATTTATTCTCTGAAGGAGTGGCTTACACTGAGCCACGGAACGTCAGAAAATTAAAGAAAAATTAATTTTTCTACTCATTGGGATATTACGAACATATTTTTATATGTATTTCTCATTAGCAATCAGAAACGACCTGATTGGAGTCAGATATAAGACCGCTAAATTGGTGAACCCGACGACGAACCTAATGCGGCAAGCTATGTCGATGAAGAAAACTCTGCACTCTATACTTTCGACGAACAAACTCAACGAAGCCAGTTCAATCTCAAATCAGACGCACTCAGTAAAGCCTATGCAGCTCGACATAGGACCAACCACTACAATATTACTTTTGTTGTATTCTGTTTAACATTCAAGAGGTTGAACGAAACAATTGTTCAGTGTTATGTAGTTTTTAATAGTTCATGGGAGAATATCAATTTATAGTTATTAATTCTTTCTTATAGGAAATTATTCAAGAGAAATGATATCTTATTCATGATAGAAAATGTGCATTTCTTTCGGTTCTATTTTAGATGGATTCTATTAAACTACACACCTTTTTCGCTATTATTCTACATAAGGTCATCATTCATTTGAATGAATATGATGGATGAAATCTAGACAACCTTTATAAGATAATAAAGGGATTGAAAAACAGTTAAATAACCAGACAACCTTGATTCACATATTAAACACTAAAGTACACAAAAGTGAATTTAGAAATTTTAACCCGACCATTGTCGTCTCATTCAATGTCAATTATAAAACAAAATGTTTTTTTTATAAATTAAGCTTGGAAGTTCAAGTATAACAATTGATGAATGACATTGATTACAGTAAAGGTTGTGTAGTGAATACAATGTAAAGCATGGAAAATCAAAATTTTAGACATTTACCCATTTTTAACTGGATAGTAGTAATAATGTTGATTGATAAATTGATATCTCTCACTCTTTCTTCCGGTGATCGACTGGATCATCAAGACGTCAACATCTGAAGGGAACCATGGGATACAGTGGACAACTAGGATGCAGTTGGACGATCTAGACTTCGCAGATGATCTCTATCTTCTATCACACACGCAACAACAAATGCAGGAGAAGACGACCAGTGTAGCAGCAGTAGGTCTCAACATACACAAAGGGAAAAGCAAAGTTCTCCGATACAACACAACATGCAACAATCGAATCACACTTAACAGAGAAGCTTTGGAAGATGTAAAAACCATTATTGATCAATAAGGTGGATCTGATGCAGATGGGAAGACGAGGATCGGTAAAGCGTGAGCAGCATATCTATAATTGAAGAACATCTGGAACTCAAAACAACTGTTTGTTAACCAACGCCAAGGTCAGGATTTTCAATGCAAATGTTAAGACAGTTCTACTGTATGAAGCGGAAGCCCGGAGAGCTACGAAAGCCATCATCCAGAAGATAAAAGTGTTTATTAACAGTTGTCTACGCAGAATACTTCGGATCCGTTGGCCGAACACTCTCAGCAACAACCTACTGTTGGAGAGAACAAACCAGATCCCAGTGGAGGAAGAAATCAGGGAGAAGCACTGGAAGTGGATAGGACACACATTGAGGAAAGCACCGAACTGCGTCACAAGGCAAGCCCTCACATGGAATCCTCAAGGCCAAAGGAGGTGAGGAAGACCAAAGAACACATTACGCCGAGAAATGGAGATAGACATGAGAAAAATGAACAAGAATTGGATGGAACTAGAAAGAAGGCCCAGGAAATAATGGGTTGGAGAATGGTGGTCGGCTGCCTATGCTCCGTTGGAAGTAATAGGCGTAAGTAAGTAAACAATAAACGGATATACTTTTTCATTCCAACAAATACAATGTTTTTTTTATACCTTGAATTAAAGAGGGAAGCCAAATTCGAAAGTAATGAACATTACACAAAAAGTAGCAATAAATGAAGCAAATGTCATCATTGCTAAAAATAACCGTTTATCTCTTTGTCTTGCTTTAAATCTTAGGTTAATAAATAATCTTATACGTTTCATTACACAAATTCATTTTTTCTTCTCGAATAAAATTGCTTACTCCCAATGTTTCTTATCATTTATCACATTTGTCTTAATAACTTAACTTCACTGTAGTAACATGTAGTAACTTGAATTGATGCACCTAATTAAAGTTTCATATTGCCAATGGTTGACTGAAAAGTGAGCAGTCTGAGACGTTTTCTAGGTAGATAAAAAAAATCAACTACATAAAATATCATTTGGATAAACTATATTATTTGTTTTCAGTATGGGGTTGTGATGATTGCTGAATTTAATTGAAATCATGAACCGATCTAAGTTAAACTATCACTAGAAAACTGAGAGCATTACATGCTCATCCTATCTTAGTTTAGGACTTCTCAACAATGTGCATCCATAACACTTCAAACGGGAATTGAACCCAAGATTTTCGATCTCGTGCACAAACATTTAGTCTCCGAACAACTGAGCCTCAATCTAACACTGTTAATATCTGACTTCAATCCATCCACAATACTGTACAATCGTCTTCCATTTTCTTTCGCCTTACACATGACACAAATTAACTCCACTGATCATAAAACTTCACAATTTATGATTTATTATTTGTTATAGAATATAATTCGAAAGTCGAATTGTGTATAATAAATTTTTTTTTTAAAAAAAAAATCACAACTGAATGAAATTGATTTGAGCTAATTTATTGATTTTAATTTCTCAGACATATTTATATACATAGTTCAAAATTTAAGAAAAAAATCAATAAATAGAAGAAGTACGTTGAGCACATTATTCATTTAATTAACATGAGATCATCATTCAAATAATAAATCTATTTTATTATCGATCAATAAAAAATTGTTTTTTTTTTCAAAAATTAAAAAGAGATAATTATACTTAATGGATTGACATGTTATAGCAAAGAAAATATATGATTTTTTGATTGAGATCATGAACCGATTGATGTTAGATCAACACCTTTGGAAATCTGGAAGTACTGGACGCCCGTTTCGTACTACTGTAGGACTCCTCAGCCGTGACCAGTGTAACTAATCCATGTCGATTAGAGGTAGGTATCTACCTCAGTACAATGGAAGTTGGTCGCGTGATTTCGTAGATTGGTTGATGTTAGACACTATCACCATTGGATGCCGGCTCAATGGTCCAGTTGGTTAAGCGTTTGCGCGCAAGACCGAAGGCCCTGGGTTCGAATCTTGTGGGCGGGATCGTGGATGCGCACTGCTGAGGAGTCCCACGATAGGACGAAACGGCCGTCCAGTGCTTCCAAGTTTCCAAAAATGGTGGTCTAACATCAATCGATTCATGATCTCAATCAAAAACTTAATAATCTCCACAACCCCTATACTAGAAATATATAATTGTTTGACAATATCAAAGACTATAATAGTAAATTACTTCATTACGTCTATTACCTCTCATTGAGGTGAATAGAGCGCTCAATCATATTCTCCATCTAACATTGTCCTGGACAATACTTTACGCTTCTTTCCAGTTATCATTCATCTTATTCATATCTACTTCCAATTCTCGATTCAGTGTATTCTTTGACCTTGCTCATTTTTTTCTTTTTAATTCCTATTCATGATTCCAATTTAGCGCTTACTTCGTGATACGGTTTGATGATTTCCGCAATGTATGTCCTATCCACTTCCAGCATCTTCCTAATTTACTCTTCACTTCAGCTGGAAGCTGGTATGTTGTGTTCAATAGTAGGTTGTTACTGATTGTATCCAGCCGACGGATATTGAATATCTTGAGGAGACAATTGTTTATAAATACTTGTAACTTTTTGATGATAGTTGATAATAGTTAGCAATAATAATAATAAAGAAATATCTATCTATCTCTCGTGTTGATCTCATAGTGATTGAATTCGTGTCATATAGCAATAACCTAAAAAAAGATCTAGGTTTTCAATGACAAACTAACTAGTATGCAGAACAGTATAGACGGTATATACTCTAATATGATATCAACTTTCGAAAAAGTCAATTAGAATAGCAATTTTCGATGGATATTTTCGATATGATCTTACTATAAATTCATTATGACTGTTTCAATAGGGCAGTTTAAATACATTGAGAGAGTTCATTATTGACTAACTGAGCTATTTGTTTTAGTGTATCACAGTCTTCCAGCGGAGGAAGAAATCAGGAAGAAGCACTGGAAGTGGATAGAACACACATTGAGGAAAGCACTCAACTGCGTCACAAGGCAAGCCCTCACATGGAATCCTCAAGGCCAAAGGAAAAGAGGAAGACCAAAGAACATACTACGCCGGGAAATGGAGATAGACATGAGAAGAATGAACAAGAACTGGATGGAATTAGAAAGGAAGGTGGAGGATAGAGTGGGTTGGAGAATGCTGGGCGGCGGCCTATGCTCCATTAGGAGTAACAGGCGTAAGTAAGTAAGTAAGTAAGTCTCCTTTGATTGAATCTTAAGAGAATTCACATGTTATGGTATTATGAAGTATTAACATAGCACTAGTTCCTAAAATATACATTGTCTCCATGGTCGTTAAATAATTTTTTATATTACTTATCAGTAAGTTTTGTTTTATCATCAACACTTGTTTACATGCACTTATTTGACGAGTCATAAATAAGACGAAGTTTCCTAGATCCCACTGCTAACCCTAAACCATTTATATCAATATTATCAATCTAAGATGAGCATATACCAGCAAGGACTGATCATTTACTATAGTCCGACAATATAAACAACGGGAACATACAAATCTATGTTTATTCCTTTGATAAATTAATAATCCCATTTATTAATAATTTAATCTCAGTCGTTTATGAATAAGACAGTTGAAGTTTCTGTTCTCATAATAATCAAATTAATTGTCAATATATAATTCAGTATACTTTTCACTATTGATGATGAAATATCATTGTAGAAAAAAGAAAATGTAGAATAAGCTCGCTCTCAGTTAAATATATTAATACATATAGATCATTTTGATAGGATTCAGTTCTCCTAGCTGAATGGTTTAATTACCGAGCTTTCATTGTTACTCTGGATAATATCTTCAAGGAGTACGTAAATCAAATGGAAATCTGGCAGTTTGTAGATAAATACAGATTCTATACATATACACAGCAAAGTATTTTTGTAATCATTTGATTCAGGCTACCAACTTGTTGGGGACGATAGATCCCCAAACTCATATTTTAAATTTTATCTTATCGATCAAATGTTAGATATTTTTATTGGGGTCAATTGATGAACTATCGATTAAATGCGCAAATAGGTCAATTAATGAACTCATTGATTAATGTTTAAAAATTTTCTATGACAATATCGATTGTAAATAATTGTATAAATACGCTTGACTTGTATGCTTGATCTGATCTGCCTGCCTGACTTGTTATCTGCTGTTGCTTGTAGAATATACTTTCTACGCCTTACCAAGACTTCTTGATCGAGTTAGCTGAGTCGAAGACAACGGACCAGAATAGTCTATCGAGTCGCTGAATCATTGATCCTTCGTTCCGTTTCGAGTAAGACGCATCAGTAATCGCATTCAAGCAATAACGAAACATAACAAATTGGCGAC